CATAAAAATGTAATGTGAATTTAATGTAATGTGAATATAAAAAAAAATGGTTCGGTAGTTGTTGTAATAATTAACAGTAAACATATATTGTATATTAAGTGTTGCACTACGGTTTAGTAAAGTATTTTATGATTTATTTTTTTATAGTAAAATTAATTGAAACAGATGTAAATGAACGGTAAACTACGACCCCTCAGATGTTCGAATAGAGATTAATTTTTATAATATATAAAATGCACATATTATCTAAATCAAGTTTTACTACACACAGGCGCGCTTCTTGGGTGGCAGCTAACAATATTTTTTACTATCTTTGCAGGTATTATTATTAGTGTTATTATAATTAAGTATAATATTATTATGTGCGCACACAGTGTGTTTCTCGTGTGCATGCTGGATTAAACGAGCTAATGCCAGCCGCAACTGGTTTTGGATTATTTCGTACCTACTCATAATACATCAGCAAAATACACAGTATATATAGTAGGTACTATCATAATGGGCCCAAGAATAATAATAATTGAACACCGTGTCGATGACCGAGTAATTTCGTAGCTTCAGCGTTATTAAAGTGCGTTTACAAATTGTTTTCATACACTAAATAGATAATAGGGTTTTAATTCCCACCGTTAAAATCGAGTAAATTATTCTTTGTATTCAATAATTATTATTTAACGAATCGCTTATAACGTTATAGTAGATACAGGTAATTTTTTTTGCCTACCTACTACAAAAAAAAAATCACATTATACCATGTGTAATTATTATAAACGTGCAAGACAAGTCAATAGTATAATAATCATTTGTTTCTAATTTTTTTAGACTCATACTTCGTATCTTCTCGACAAGCTCTTTTTAATGAACTTAGAATCGACTATTTAGCTCATAAATTTCAAGAGAAACTTGAAATTTATACATTATGTAACACATACATTTTATTTCAAATTCTAATCATTGTATACTGCATGTGTATGAAATCCGACCGTACGTTATCTTATATCAAAGCTAAGCCAAATGTCCTCCTTCTCGGTTTTGATTTTCTATCAATTTCCCAACTACCATACAAGATTATTTTTTTAAAAATCAAGAGAGGCCCCTAAAGTTTCAGCTCTTAATTTCGATGTTAAGGTCATCTGCCTGCGAAGGCAATACTAGAATAATAGCTTAAAATATCAATGTCGGCTCGTAGGTATTTTGTTTTAATGGTTTTTACCGTATTAATCCGCTTTGTGTATATTATGTGTAAATCGCTGTATAGTTATAGTCTGACATCTTAAAATAGGTATATATGCCTTTATTACTGTACATATATATTATAGGTACACGTTCACTCGCTGTGGGCTGTATGTTGTAAAGACAATCAAGTTAAAACCCGTAAAATTAAAACGAAACTGCGATGAGAAAAAAAGTAATAATATAATACACAACAGCAACTACAGTGTAGCAGGCCATTTTGGTTGTATATACTCTGGCCCGATAAAAAATAATAATAATGATGATATTCTATTTGTAAACAGTCAGCCGTCCATGCGTGATGGGAGGCTGATTTCGATAAGTATACCTTTTGCTAGTACGTGCCTTGGAAATCGTTTAAAACAACTCTTAATACACATATATATATATATATATATATATATATATATTATGTGTGCGAAAACCAAACGGTACATTTTATGCGTTGTTTGGGAATTTTACAAATTAGGGAGGTGCCGAATTCGCCGGTAAGGTGCCTGACCGCGTTCGAACATATACAAGAATAATATTATTTTAATTATTATTATAGTAACATTCATTATCGCGATACAAATGATTGTAAATTCTATTTAACTACACTTAACCGCTTCGTATGTGTAATTTACCGAATTGAAAACTGCACGATAAGGAATTTTCCTACGCGTTGTAAATCAGTTGGAAAGTTATCTTCAATCACTTAATTTTTTGTTCTCCTGTGTTACAATTACATTTTTTATCTATTTTTTATCTATTTTTATATCATTTTTTTATTGAACGGTATTTTAATTGTGCAATATATATTAATATAAATGTTTGCGTTACGCTAAGAGATAAATGATAAGAGACACAAGCAAATTGATAAGAGATTAGTGATAAAAGATAAGAGATAAGTGATATGTATATTACAATAAACCGAAAAAACATATAATAATTCATGATTCAAAATGGTTTTTAATGGTTACTTATGGAATTTGTGTCTGGGGCGGTACTTTTGAAAATACTTGAGATTACTTAGCACTACGATAAATACTCTACTAAGGATAGGTTCTTTAAGGAACCTTATTCAATTCAAATACGGAGATACTACACAGTACATATAATAGTATATTAAATTAAAAAAAAGCTCATGCTAAAGAAATACTATTTAATTTATATTTTTGTAATTTTGAAAGCGTCAGTTTCAACCACAATTATTATGGTACCCGTCAAATGAAGAATAACATGTTTAAAATTAAAAAAATATAATATTGAAATTGGAAAAAGAGACTCTGTTAATTTAAGTATAAATTTATAAATCATTTTATAAGTTATGATCTGTATAAGAAACCATCTCATGATGGCAGCGTTGGGCCTTCATGGCCCGTTAAGCTACATGATGATGATCTGTATAAAAACTATATTAATTTTAAGATAAAACGCCTATATGATTAAAAATCTGACCGGTACGCTCAAATTATTATTATATAAACTATTCAAGTAAATTATTGTTAATTAGATATATTGTATTTCATTAAATTAACACGAGAGTTTGTTGATATATAAGTTTATGAATTAGATACTAGATAAGAGCTGTTTTCTCCTCTACAAGTTTAGGCTTTTGGAGACAATCATTTCTATTGTATTTCGTTTAAATAATTTATTGTACATGTTTGTTTCTCTAAAAGTGCAATAAACTATATCATTTTTATTATGTCCACGATTGAAAGCTACGTTCCGAGACTAAACTGTTTTGTAATTAAGTTTGATTCTTTAAAGATTTTTCTTCGACAAAAACCATATCAATATTGTTATTGAGATATGTGATAAGCGATTGTATTATTTAATTTGTCAGTTAGTTATTATTTGGCATTTTATTTTACTTTCTATTAAACGATTCGGTTCGTATAAATAATTTATATATAACTTTTTAACACATTGTTTAGATAGTCTATATATTTTTAAAAATAGTTTGTTATAAAAATTTTCACTGACTAGTTGTTAAATATAATTAACAATAAGTTAAATTCTCAACAAATGTTGGTGAAACCGGCCGACGGGATTCGAATGGGCGCGTATACCTACTATTATTTGCAATACAGCCGTGCAGAGGTACTGACAATACTTTTACAAAAGAGGGCGTGCAAATACATAGTATGGGCGATGAAGTCGACAACGACGACGATGATGATGATGAAAGAGCCGTAGCTACGGCCAACGCACACAAAACCGCGGGGGATTGTTACTTAAATAAATACGGTGCCTGGGCACAAAGGCAGAGAAAAGGTCGGTTGCTCGTGCTGGGCGAGAGGGTCGGAAGAGTTGGCAAATTATCTGTTTGTAGCTGGCTTCTCTCACTCTCTTTTCGGTTTACAAAGCTCAGTCCGTCAAACAAAATTCAACCTCCAGTACCACCAGGCAGTAGACCTGAGTGTATGTGTGTTTTTGTGTGTTATATATATACACACATACAGATACAGATAGAGAGAGAGAGAGAGAGACAAAGTAGTTTTCTTTGAGCCCCATGCAAATTACTATTACCCATTCGCCGACGTGGCCATTGTAAATACCAAGTGCGCATTTTCCCCGTGGGTTTGCTAAGTAATTATAACCGTGTGCTCGTCTTCGCGGAGGAAACAAAGACAACGTTGGATTTACTTTGTAGCGTTTCACTCGATAAGTGGGTAGAATTAAATGAAAAAAAAAAAAAAAAATAATGTCCCTTGTGCCACACACAAACGAACACCGAGGAGTGCGTCGAGGCGAAAAAGGTGTAAGGATTGAGCATTCGACGAATGAACATTGTGCGTTATTATTAATGATGATTTTCACGGTCTTTTGTGCATGAGGAGGGGGGGGGTCTAAGAATTGGGTATTTTTTTTTTACTCCGGCAAGGTGTTCAGAAGAAGAAACGAACGATAGGGGAAAAAAAATGAAACAACACAAAATCACACACCGCGATCCATTTCTCTCCGTTAATTTTCTCCCACAACCTGTCAGGCTCGCTTGGCTTTTTCCATTATTGTCCCGGATATAATCCTTTTATGATGTCGACAGAATGGAACGGGAAAAAAAACTTGGTAAAAAATGTCTTCGCCACAATAGTACAAATGATATTGTGTACGTATACGTAGTAAACCTCCACGAATCATTTATCACCGTTTGCAAGTTGTATGAAAAAATATCTTCCAAAAAACGGAATTTTAATCAAAGCCAAAAAGGTAATTTGTTACAATTGGTTTCGCCTTACTCGTGTTGTGTTATTTACCTGATGCCGATATTTGATTACAAAATACATAATTATAAGCAGACGATCAACCCTACGATAATCAGTAATCGTGTCCACCCTAATACTAAGAATTAATTTTTAAGCACAAAAGTGTCATAAGGTTTAATGCTTTTAGCGATATTTTTATTTTTATCTGAGAACACTGGACCTCCCTTACTTACTTACTTACTACTAGTAATTATTATTACTACTCACTTGGACTGGACTGGTTCTTACCAACTTCCACAGATTCGCATCAAAGCGTTTATTTAAAAATTATTTTATCACTTTCAGTTATAATAATTCCGGTTAGGTTTGGTTTCATGCGTGGTTCAAAGCACAAACCACAGTGGTGGAGTTATTTAGAGCCACTCAATAAAAAACGTCTTACCATCAAATGGTTGCCAACTCCAAAAATGTCCAACATCCATTTCGAACAGCACACAAAGAATAAAAAGATACTTACTACAAAAAAAAACTGTAATCATTTTGAGAAACATATTATTTATTTAACGACGAGCAAACATGTGTCAAACAGAAAAAAAAATTTAGAAATCGTTTCATACAACAACAAAGACTTATAAACTCAAACTGTAGCTATTTATAAATGACAATAAAAATGTACATAACGATGTTAAGATCTTAATTGTTTCTTCTTGAACCCTAATTTAGTAAAGAAAGATTTCTCGAATGTACGTAAATTTGTATCATAAAAGTTAAATACAAAATTCATACTGTCATGTGACGCAAGATAGGCCATTCTTTCTAAATCTTTGGCGTCTTCGGATTTTTCGTTTTCGGCGTTAAACGTCGACAAACAACGAGCCATGAGAAAGTCCTGTAGTAATTTGTTTGCGCATTTTATCTGTTCTAGGAAAAAGTCGTAATCACTTCTTAAATTATCTATCTTGATCGTATCATTATCGTCCAAGTAATTTGATTTAATGTATTGCTGACGGTCGAAGCGCGGTAGTAAGAATTCCAAAACGTCAATGACTGTTGTTGTGCCCGTGGCTTTGGAAGCTTTGTGGAAATAATTCAGAACAAATAGCATTTTTTCGATCCATGACTTATTTTTGTCCATTGTTTCCCAAAACTGTTCCATGCAATCCAACTTTAATGCGTCCGAACCCAGGCTCATGCAATGCTGCCCGATAACGTCAATGACTAAATCGTTCATGAATTTTAGGTTTTCGCTGTAAAAGCAGTTTACCGTAAGCAAAGATTTTAGCAATTTGTCGGTGTAGTTTGCCGGGGTGACAATATTGCCGTCCGCCCCTTTACTTAATAGTTCTGACACATCCACTTTTTCGCCGTTGATTGATTTTAATTCTCGATCTAGGGCTTCTGCTACCAGTACCTTCCACCCCTTCGCCTTTAATATATTGTTTAATGTTAACACGTGGTCTGCGTCTGACCATGATCCAGGATTACCGGCAGAGCACATCAAAAAAGTGCAAACGGAAAACAACGAGTACACCAACAATAGCGGTTGAATCATATTGGTCGGACTAAAGCTTATAGTTATATTTCAAGTCGTGCTTGACGGTTCCGTAAGTGCCAACTAAACAGATATACTATACTGTTAGGTAGGTTTAATGATGTTCAACGTTAGGCCACCTGAGAAAATAGTAACAGTCGTATTCGTAAAACGCAAATATAGATGGCAGTGAGAAGTCGTTGTGAAACTCTGTATACGTGTCACAAGTTTATTTGGTAGATCGGTAGATGTCTTGCCTTCTCCGCCACTCATGTCATATTCGTCATGCTTCATCAAGTTTACTTAGTTCATAAAAGGTGTATGGATTGTAAATAAAATTTAAAATCAATAAAAAAAAAAAATTTCATTTTTTGTAATTTGTTCGGTGATATTTAAGCTTTGTTGTATTTTTAAAATAAACAATAATAATTATACAAATAAGTAGAACTATATGATACAGCAATTAAATTACATGATAAGGATCAAAAATTTCAAGTAGCTAGATTGTTAAATTTAATAGGAACAGTGGGACTTAATTTGTATAACACGTTCAAATTAGAAATTTTCAAAAGTCTAGATGAGTACTGTGTACCTAAAAAGTATGAAGTGATGGAACATTATACAATATTTCAAGAGGAAACAAAGTGAAAATGAGACATTTGATAAGTATTCTGCGGATCTGAGAGAACTAATTAAATCATGTTCTTTCAAAGACACAGAAAAGGCACTGCTACGAACACAAATTGTACTCGGGATACGTGACAAGGATATCCAAGCAAGACTCCTAAGAGATGACCTACCATTGGAAAAAACTGTCAATCTACTGAACGGGGTGAAATAAATTGTAAACTGATTATTCATGAAAAAGAGAAAAGAGTAGACGTTGTGGGACATGAAAGAAAATTTTCAACAAGGAAAACTATGTGGAAGTGGCATCAACATAGAAAATCAGGAAACATACAATCGCAGAATTGAGGAATTGAGTTTGAGGAATCTTAGGATACAGGTTAACTCAATTTAAGTGTTATAAAGTAAATCGATTAAATATATAGAATGGAAAAGAAATTAAATTGTTGTTATTAGATTCAGTAGAAATAGCTAAAACTGGGATGTGGACAGATCTAATTTTAGTGGAAAACAAGGAAATGTTAGTAAAACTGGTTACAGGTGCACAACTAAATGTAATGCCTAATAAATATTTTAATGAAATGAATAAACAATTGGAAAAGGGCTCAGTAATAATAAAATCATTTGAAAGATTTAAAAATAAGTCTTTAGGAACAGGGAAAGTGTTTGTAAAAAATAAAAGTAATGAAACTAAAACTGACTTTGAAATAATTGATTATAATGATTGACCTATAATAGGGTAAAAATAAATTAAATAAATGAAATTAAAAATGTTGTTGAAAATACTGAAATGTTTGTTAAAAATAATATAGATGTGTTCACAGGATTAGGCAGTTTTCCTGAATGCATAACAATTGAATTAGAAGACTAGGCAATACCTAAATCGTTTCTACCAAGAAGAGTGCCTTTTAAAACTATAGATAAACTGAAGGAAACATTAAAGGCAACGTGTAAATTGAAGGTAATTAAAAAGTGTGAACAACCGAGTGAGTGGAAAAGTAATATAATTGTCGTAGAAAAACAGTATAAAAGTACAAGACTATGCTTCGATCCAAGAGAAATCAATAAATATTTTGTCCGTGAGAGTTATGAAATTCGTACAATAGAACAGAGATTTATAAGAGAGTTGGTAATAATCTAATTGGTCTATAAAAAGGACAACTTGGGAACATTTTTGGCTTAGGAATTAAAATAATGATGAATGGTTCCAAATGGAAGGAAAATTGGACTATTTGAGTATTGAATGAAAGATCAAAGTAATTTCTAAATCGTTGCCAACAAATTCGTTTAGGAAAAGGTGAATTAGTTTGTTTTTTAAGTAAATTAGTACCTAGTTTTATAAAAATTCTGTAACGTTTGAGGAAAGATTATTTGGCAACTTAGTGAAAAAAATATCTAGTATTCAGGCAGTCTTTTATTATGCGACAACTAATTCTTAGGACTAGGTGGAAACAGAGGGTAAGGAAGTCAATTGTTGTACTGGTTATCTGAATGTTTAGTTCGTTATAATGAGGGAGGCAGTTGTGTATTATATTTGATGGTTTGTGGACATCATTGTAATTACTATACCTTCTAAGCTCTGCATCGAAGCTTAAAATATTACTTGTCGATAACTACTCCTAAATAAATATTACAATGTGTGACAAATATAAAAAAAAAAGGTAGTCAATACTTATTATGTAAACTGATTAAATAATAATTGTTATAAAAAAAAAATTGTTGATATCGTAATATATTTAATTTTTATCCATGTTGCTGCAATCATTCGTCTCAGGGCACTTACCACACAAGACATTTTATGTCACCTTTGTCAAGCCACTTTTTTTTGCATTTTCAGTTAAAGATAAGAGACCAGTCATAAGTGAAAATGATAAGTGATAACAAATCCATAATTTAATATTTTTCTGGGAGCATATAAAAAAACTAAAAAATAAACTGTACAAATACGTTTCATACGTGGTCTAAAGCACACACACTTACACACGATTATGATGGAAGGGCGTCATAGGCCAAGATGGAGTAGGCTGTCTTGCTTGTGAAACATCTGGCAGTGGATCGGAACAACAACAGCAGTAAATTTATTTACAACAACTCAAAAATAATCGTTACACCATTAAATGGCTACCAGACCAAAGAAGAAAAACATATTTAGTAAAAAGAAAATTTTGTCATTTTAGATACTTGTTTATATTACGAAAAGCTAACATGTATTAAACAGCATAAACATTTAGAAATCGCTTTACACAACAAAAGCTTATAATCTAAAAGAGTAGGTCTTTATAAATTACAGTAAACGTGTACATAACGATGTTAAACTGTTAATTGTTCCTTAGTGAACATTAATTTAGTCAACAAAAGCTTCCTGGCGCATTCGTGAATTTTCAACATAAAATTTAAATACACTATCGATATCCTGATGTGACGCAAGATAGGCCATTCTTTCTAAATCTTTGGCGTCTTGGGTTTTTTCGTTTTCGGCGTTGAAAGCCGGCCAACAACGGGCCACAAGAAAGTCCTGCAGTAATTTGTTTGCGCATTTTATATGATCTAGAAAAAAGTTGTAATTCCTCCTTAATCTATCTATCTTGACCGTACCATGGTTGCCCAAATATTTTGACTTAATGTATTTCTCACGGTTGTAGTGCGGTAGTAAGAATTCCAAGGCGTTAATGACTAATGTTGAGCCCATGCCTTTGCAATATTTGTCTAAGCAATTAAGAACTACAAGCATTTTTTCGATCCATGCCTTATGTGTGCCCATGGTTTTCCAAAACCGTTCCATGCAATCCAACTTAAATGCGTCCGAACCCAGGCTCATGCAATGCCGGCCGATTACTTCAATAAAAATATCGTTAATGAATTTTAGGTTTTCGCTGAAAAAGCAGCTTACCACGGTCGAAGTTTTCAGTAATTTGTCGGTGTAGTTTGCCGGGGTTACGATTTTGCCATCGGCTCCCCTATTTAATAGTTCTGACACGTCCATTTTTTCGCCGTTGATTGATTTTAATTCTCGATCTAGGGCTTTTGCTACCACATTCTTCCACCCCTTATTCATCAATATATTGTTTAATGATAACGCGTTGCCTGCGCCTGACCATAATCCAGAATTACCGGCCGAGCACATCAGAAAAGTGCAAACGGAAAACAACGAATACACGAACAAAAGCGGTTGAATCATATTGGTCGGACTGTAGTATATATTTCGAGTAGTGCTAGACTTCTCTGAAAAACGAACTAAACTACACTGTTTTACTGTATACTATACCGTCGGTTAGGTATAATGTTGTTTCGAGCATTAAGTGTCATCGGGGATTATTTATTTTACTTTATTTGACTCCACGTTCGACGTTAGGCCACCTAAGAAAATAGTAACCATGATATTTGTACAAAGCAAATATAGTGTTACTAGTTTATTTGGTGGATCGGTGCATATCTTCGCTCCTTCGCCGTTTAAGTCATGTGTAAAACTTTAACATGTTTACTTAATGTACAAAATGTGTATAGATTGCGAATAAAATTTTACGTCGATAAGAAATAAAAGGTTAATTTTTTAGCAATTTTTTCGTTTGTTGTCATTTTAACTATTTCTTTTCGAGACATTTTATGTGCTATAATACAATTCTAGATCTACCTTCGATCTAATTATCTGATCAAAATACCTAAAACCTTCCTGTTAGAAGTTAAATAAAAGGGGGGGGGGTGGGTTATTCCGAGTGCGTCCCGAAACGACCTTTTTTTAACGTTCCGAGTGCGTCCCAGTTCATATAGAGTAACCCAGGGTGCACCACGAGGAGGTGAACTGACTTACACCCCAAAAGTGTTTTTTTTTTTTGGCTTACACTCAATTTTTGGGTGAGTGATCTTAATTTATTTTCAATCTTGCGCGTTTGTTGTATTTCAAATATTTCATTGATGTTTATGTTGTGGCTAATGTTTATACGCCATTATTTTTACAAAATCAAATCTGGTTACTTGACCAGCTTTAAATTCTTTGATGTTTTCATCAATAAAATACATTTTTTTGCAAGTCGTAAATTTCGGTTTTCTTATTGTCTGCTTGGCCGTCCGGATCGCTATTTTCGTGTCTACTTGATTTTTTTTTTTAAATTCCTAAAAATATGTAAATTTCTAGGTGGTGTTTATAGAAAAGTGAATTGATGAAATGTGATTTCCTCTGTCGTCGCCCCAGTTAATCTAATATTTGTATTATTATTACCTTTGTCAATTGATAACTGGACGCATTCGGGCCCTTGAATAAAATGTTGATAAATAACTGCGGACGCACTCGGGCTATGAAAAAGGTAAAAACTTCAAACGGGACGCACTCGGGAAACCCTCAAATAAAGAAAACATATTTATACATTCTCGGGGAAAAGGTTTACGATATATTTTTGTTTGTCAATGTTCACAGATAGTACTATGAATAAAGAATAGTTCATACAAATATGGAGCTAATTATTGGAACTTTTTAAAAGACTACGGCTCTTTTAAATTATATTTTAAACTTCAGAGTCCAATCAAATTCTATTCTACTAAAAAACAAAAAATAGATTAACATAAATGTCTAAATTTATTATTCATACAAGTTGCTATAAAATATTGCAAACTCATCCCTCCCTAAAATCCTCTTATCGAAGGGGAGAAAATTACAATGACCTTGAAATAACATTGTATGACAAAAAAACCGAAAACAATACACGTGAATTGTTTTTTTTTATTATTCTAGAAAATCGTCAATAAGTCGGGTTGGCAAAAAAATTGTTTTAAATAAATAATACTTCCATAGACAATCGTACATATAAATCTTTATTTGCTTTTGAACTCGGTGTAACTTTTGAAACACATGCGCCAATGTGCGAAATGATACAAAATCCTCACTCTCTAACAATTACTAAAATAATTTATACGCCTATGCAATGGTCTTATCATTAATAACTTATTGGTTCGTATTAGCCTAAAACGGAACCCCTAATTTGTTGACAATTGTCCATCATCTTTTGTGGTCTTTGCCGTTTTGAATATTTTCAAATTGAGCGGAACACGAAGGAGCAATGGGTATTTTTAACATAACATGACACCTTCCATGACACCCTAATCGTGTCCAAACTAAGACTAAGAATTATTTTTGAAGCACACAATTGTCATAAGATTTTATGCTTTACACGATATTTTTACTTTTGTCTGAGAACACTGGACCTACCTTACTTACTGCTTACTACAACTACTTACTACTAGTAATTATTATTTATACTCACTTACATATAATACTTACTTATTGTGCTTGTTTGGACTGTACTGGTTTTTACCCACTATCCACAGATTCGCATCAAAGCGTTAATCTCAAAATTATTTTATCACTTTCAGTTATAATAATTCCGGTTAAGTAAGGTTTCATGCGTGGTTCAAAGCACAAACCACAGTAATGGAGTTATTTAGAGCTACTCATTTAAAAATTGCTTATCATCAAATGGTTGCCAACTCAAAAAATGTCCAACATCTATATCGAACAGCACACAAAAACGAAAAAAGTTACTTACTATAAAAAAAAAAACGTAGTCATTTCAGAAACATATTATTTATTTAACGACGAGCAAACATGCGTCAATCATAATAAAAATTTAGAAATTGTTTCATACAACAACAGTAGATTAAAAACAGTAGCTCTTTATATATGACAGTAAAAATGTACATAACGATCTTAAACTCTGAATGGTTTCTAATAGAATCCTAAAATATTCATGAAAGTTTTTTCGCCTCTTCTTAAATTTTCAACATAAAAGTTAAATACACCATCGATACCCTGATGTGACGCACGATAGGCCATTCTTTCTAAATCTCTGGCGTGTTGAGATTTTTCGTTTTTGGCGTTGAAAGCCGGCAAACAACGGGCCGTGAGAAAGTTCAGCAGTAAATTGTTTGCACATTTTATCTGGTCTAGGAAAAACTTGTAGTCCCTCTTCAAATTATCTATCTTTACCGTACCATGATTGTCCAAGTAGTTTGATTTAGTGTATTTCTCACGGTCAAAGTACGGTAGTAAGAATTCCAAGGCGTCGATGACTATTGTTTTGCCAATGCCTTTGGAAGCTTTGTGGAAAAACTTCAGAACTAATATCATTTTTTTGATCCATGCCTTATGTGTGTCCATTGTTTTCCAAAACCGTTCCATGCAATCCAACTTAAACGTGTCCGAACCCGTGCTCATGCAATGCCGGCCGATTATTTCAATGAATATGTCGTTCATGAATTTTAGGGTTTCGCTGTAAAAACAGTTTACCGTGGTCGAAGATTTCAGTAATTTGTCGGTGTAGTTTGCCGGGGTAACAATATTGCCATCGGCTCCTTTATTCAATAGTTCTGACACGTCCATTTTTGCGCCGTTGATTGATTTTAATTCTCGATCTAGGGCTTTTGCTACCAGTATCTGCCACCCCTTCGCCTCCAATATAATGTTCAAGGCTAACACGTTGTCTGCGTCTAACCATGATCCAGGATTACCGGCCGAGCACATCAGAAAAGTGCCAACGGAAAACAACGAGTACACGAACAATAGCGGTTGAATCATATCGGTCGGCTTCTAGTTTATTTCAAGTTATAGTTATATTTCAAGTTGTGCTAGACTTTTTTGAACTCTACGTTCACCGTTAAACCACCACAGAAAATAGTAATTGTCGTATACGTGTAACGCAAATGTAGATGGCACTTCTAACTTCTACCGTACATTAGTTCGGTGGGAAACTCTGAATACGTGTTATAAGTTCATTTGGTAGATCGGTAGATGTATGAACATATTTACTTAGTGTACAAAATGTGTATGGATATTAAATAAAATTTAGAATCAATAATAATTTTTCTAGAAGTTATTTCGTTCGATGACATTCTAAACTTTTTCGTATGTCTATAATGAAGAATAATAATAATAAAAATTAAATAAAACATTATCAAAAACCTGAATACAATTTTTAAAATAACACTGTACAATAATTGTCACCGCTCTTATTTATTTATCCGCAGATTTCACGTTTATCATCAAGTGTATACGAAATATGTAAGAAATTTTTCTTGAGAAAACTAGGGTTCGATGAGGAACAATTAATAGTTTAAGATCATTATGTAAATTCGTACTGATGTTTATTAAGAGCTAGTCTTTAAAATTATACGTTTTAATAATTGTAGCGTGAAATGATTACTAAATTGTTATTCTGTTTGATGCATGTTTGCTGTTAAATAAATAATATGTATCTGTAACACTAATTTTTTTTTTGGTAAGAAGTATTGTGTGCTGTTTCATATGGACGTGGTTTAAACGAAATTGTTTGTGTTGGTAGCGATTTAATGGTGTGAAATGTATTTGTATAGTTTATGCTCCGCAGAGAAATGTTAATTTATGGATATGTTATCTTTTATCATATTCTCTTACCTCTAACTGTAAGTGAATGTGTAACTCGAAAATGATGACTTGGCAAAGACGACATAAAATTTCTTGTGTGATAATTGCCCTGAGACGAATGATTACAACAACATGGATAAAAATTAAATAGGTATATTACAATATCAACAATTTTTCTTTATAACAATTATTATTTAATTAGTTTACATAATACGTATTGACTACCTTTTTTTTTTATATTTGTCACACACTATAATATTTATTCAGAAGTAGTTATCGACCAGTAATATTTTAAGCTTTGATGCAGAGCTTAGAAGGCATAGTAATTATAATGATGTCCACAAACCATCAAATATAATACACAACTGCCTCCCTCATTATAACGAACTAAACATTCAGATAACCAGTACAACAATTGACTTCCTTACCCTCTGTCTCCACCTAGTCCAAAGAATTAGTTGTCACATAATAAAAGACTGCCTGAATACTAGATATTTTTATCACTGAGTTGCCAAATAATCTTTGCTTAGACGTTACAGAATTTTGATAAAACTAGGTACTAATTTACTTAAATAACAAACTAATTTACCTTTTCCTAAACGAATTTGTTGGCAACGATTTAGAAATTACTTTGATCATTCATTCAATACTCAAATAGTCCAATTTTCCTACCACATGAAAACCATTCATCATTATTTTAATTCCTAAGCCAAAAAAATTTCCCAAGTTGTCCTTTTTATAGACCAATTAGATTATTACCAACTCTCTTATAAATTTCTGTTCTATTGTTGGAATTTCATATTATCTCTCACGGACAATATATGTATTGATTTCTTTGGAATCTAAGCTTACTCTTGTACTCCTATACTGTTT